CATTTCCGCTATACATAAATACCTATACACCTATATACTACAACACCAATTGTAGTGCAGTTCATAACAAAAAGTTTCATGTCGCAAGTTCTTCAAGAACTTGTTCTTGTTAAGAGAAAGATTCATCAACCTCCATCTTTTCAACACTTTCATCGGATTTATTCGCTACTTCTGTATTGGTTACTTCTGGATTGACTTCTTCCAGATTGACTTCTTCCTTCTCAGGCTCATCTATAGTTTATAGTTATTTATAAAGAAATATTTAACTATATTAATAAAATTGTTACTTACCATGTTCTTTTTTTACTTGTGCGGTAGCCTGTACAGTATCTTCCGATATTTCCGTTGGTTTCTCAACTACTTCAATATCAGAGTCTAAAACGTGTATATAATTAGAAAAAAAAATTGTTAAACGCAAGATAAATGTGTCCAAACCTGTATCTGATGGACTTGATAGCTCCGTTTCTGAATGTTTTGTTTGTTCTACATTTGTATTAGATATCGCGTGCTCAGGTGTATTTGTAGATGATGAACTATTTTGAGAAGTATTAAACTCCAATTTCGGTGCAGATGACTTCTGTTTTCTTGCGGGATTCCAAAAGTTGCAATAACAACATCTGAATCCTATATAAGAAAAGCACATATATTTTTAACATATAGTGTTATCATTGAATCTTTATACTTAACTCTTCTTGTAGTTTATGATAAATGTTTACCAAAATATTCGAATTCCTCTTTTAATGCCATTCCATTATGCGACTCGCAGTGTTTGCAAATAAGTGCGTATCGATTCGATGGACCATCGCCAACTATGTAATCAATAAATCGATCTAAGTAAGTTCTTTGACGAGGAAACACCGGGCGCGGCAAAGGCGATCCTAGGAAACAATAAACTTTATAATTTCCTAATGTAAACAACACATCTATAACGTCTACCTTTTGTTATTTTTCATTTAATATTAATCAATTTAAATAAAAAAAATTTTCTACTTATAAAACAATTACATAACTTATACAGTTAAAGAATGCGTGAAAAATTTTTTAAAATCTGGAATGGACAACTGTAATCCTAACAATACTAACGATAACCCATAGCTGGAGTAGTAACTGGTCTACTACCACTCTGGAAAGGAGTGATTGGTGTGTTGCGAATGGGAGCCGCGCCAACGGGAACAAGGCCAGTATTAGTGGGCATTCCACTTTGCACATTTAATGGTTGATTTTGACTTGTTACTACTCTTCTTCTCAATTTTTCACCACTAGACGATGGGGATACTACATTTTGTGGTACACTAGTTCTTAAATTTGGAGTTGTTTCTATTGGCGTTGATACTCTAAATATTGGCTAAAATAAAAATTTCTTTTACTGCAACGTTTATCCTCTCCTTTCTTACTACTTGTAAGAACTTTTACGCGCAAATTAAATGTTTTTGTTTAAAAAGAAGTTAATGAATATAAACTACGAACCTGCGGAGTTAACTGAAAAAAATAGAAAGAAAATTTAGTTAATGGAAACAAATTTGAATAGAAATTAAACAGAAAATATATATATAATAATTGAAATTATGAAAAACTCATTTATCAATTTTTATTAAATTTAATTTGACAAACATTCTAAATTGTGTTCTGTTCTTACTTACAGATGTCATTTTCAACTGATCTGGAGCAAACTTTAAGAGAATTTCTTTAGCTTTTTTATAGGTCTCTGTTTCAGTGACTTCATCTAGAATTTTCTTTTTCTCTGTCTGCATTGTACTTAATTTTTCTTCATTTTCAGAAATTTTACGTTTATAATACCATGTAACCAATTTCTTTGTAAGCAAAATTCTGTGGCAATAAAACATTTAATTAGGGGTTGAAAGTAACTCGAAAAAATAAATGAATAAATTTCATGGGAAGTCATAACACTTACAAAAGTGGAAACATTAACAATGGAATGATATAAAATATTTGATCATATAACGATGCTGGGAAAAAACAGAAATAAAATATGAATGCTGTTATAACATAAAGTATGACACTGTAAAGAATAAGAGTCCCAACAATTCTTTTGTGCCTCTGTTCTGTAGTGTGTCCATATCTTTCTATTTCCCTAATTTTCTGTTGGAAAAGACATTTGTTATAACATTTAAAATCTTACTGCTATATTTAAAAAAATGTAAGTTCCCTACCTTGTCAAGGTCCTCTAAAATTTCAATAGTAGTTTTCTTTTTCTGAAATGTGCAAGGTACTCATATTTATCATATTTCTACTCATATCTACATATACATACAACTGTAAAAGAAGCTTAATTTATAGAATCAAATGTAGTCATTATCATGAGCCAACTATGTGCAGGGAATAATAATTAATGTGTAAGGTTACCACTACATGTACAGCATATTAATTCATCGCTTTTAATAGTTTTCGCCAGGTAACCAAGAGTAATTAATTTTACATTTCTTTAAAAAAGCATGTATTTACATGATAGCATGTTTACAAACTTATTGATAGGATTACTTTACAAGTCATAGTTTAGAACAATGGTTATGAAACTAAGAGGTGTCCCCTGTGTTATTTTTGCATATTTTTGGATCAACAATGAAATATTCAAACAGGATCAATGTAATGCCATTGAATGGTAATTTTGAATCGCATGATAAGTTTGCTGCATAAATTATGTTCCATTTTGATTAATCATCGAATGTAAGAGTTTTTAACAATACAGGTTAAAATATTTGAGTCGCAAATTACAATATTATAAAAGTAGTATGTACAATTTACTTATAAAAGGATACACGTATCTTAGTTTTTTTTATGAAGCTTCATTGAGATCCTTATCTTCGCGCTTAACCTCAAAAAACTGTCAACCGTAAATTCATATGAATATTAAGATTAACTCTTATGATTAAGTAAACAAAATATTGTTCGCCATCGATAACTAAATCGCTTCAGGAAAATATTGCTACAAAATAATTCCTAAATGCATAGTAAAGCAGTATGATATGGCAACCCGTTAACCTTAAAATTAGCAGTGAAAGTTAACATCAATTTCGTAAATATTGACACAAACTTACACGAAATCTTGATAGTATGATCCCCATGTTGTAGACACTTCAATAAAATTCTTAACGATTCGCGAAATTGTTCCTTGAACGAAGATAATGCTCCTCGTACGTAAAGTGTCAAAGTCAAAACAAGAGATTCGTGCAAATTTTAAAATAGACTAGCCGGGCGGTATCTTCGTGCAGTCGTACGATCCAAATTTAAATCCCTCCAAGTTTTGTTTCGATATTTATAGATTGAATAATCTATGAACACATCGCAAACGCCAGTTGCATGATATTGGCGATCAAATCGTGAAGGAAATATGTATTCTCCGTTGGCGCGCTGTTTATTCCTGAACGTGAAAATATATTGGCGAATCAACAGATGTCGAGGATAGGTTCTTTAAAATCGTCGAAATACGTTTCACCGAAAACGATTTTGACTTTCTATGTCATCGATATTAATTTTCACCGATACAATTTGTTTATTGACATGTACTTTTTCGAAATTATATTATGATTATATAAGAGTAATAAGCACACGTCGTTACTGTATAAACAAGTAAACATTTAAAATTTAACTTATTAGAACTTTATGAAAGAATTCAGTCATTTGTATGATTTTCCTTCATTGGAAGATTATAAATAATCTGTTCAGACTAGCTGTAAATTCTTCATATTGTATTCATAATCAGAATTATTAAAAAAATTAGAAAATTAAAAAATCATTTGAAGTATTTAAAGAATTATAGAAGTCTTCTTTGGAAGTTTAGTGCAGTTCTTATCCATGCCACTTTAACTTTCTAACAGCTAAGCTGCATTCGCGAATTAAATAAAAAGTAAATGATAGTTCTGTCTACAAAAAAGTTTCGGTGATTTTAAAGTAACCCGTCGAGAATTCCTTTTCTTCCTTGTCACTCTCTACAATAGAACAAGGTATAGAAATATTTATACGATTACAGTACCGATAAGATAAGTTCGCGTACAAACGAAGCCCAAAGACTCACTACTTCGTGGTACGTTCTCGTCAAAAATTAACCGGAATAACAATCGTCGCACCGTTTGAAACCGTGCAAAACGAACTGAGCCACGAACGAGTACTCATGGTATCAGATAGGGAACGAAATTGCTCGGAGAAACGTAAGCTTCCTGTACCGATAAGGAAGAAATGCAACAAGCGAAATAAACGTTGACGCCGTTGGACGTACGCATGAAACATTTGAGTAGATATACATATAAATAGAGCTGACGTGTTACACTCGATCGCTAGGAGAAATCGATATATTAATACTACTATTTTTGCTTGAGTATAATAATACGTGGAATACAATCTTATATGAAACAAAAAGATACAAAGACAGGAATTATTTCGGTGTCGGTTAAAACTGGAAAGACGTGACAATCGAAATTAGTACCGGTATTTTTCGGTTTGTATCTGCTTCAACGTGTATGTAACCATTGAACTATTTAGTAAAACGTGCTTTGCATGAAAAACAAAGACATGATCGGTGGCTATTACCATGACGAAATCCCGTTTAATATAAGATTGTTTTGTTAAATAATAGTGATTTTATTAAATTATGTATGAGAAGGAATGAGTTCATACACATTTTAGCTTGACGCTTCTACGTCCGAAAGCCGCTTTCATTGCCATTTCAGTGTACTGGTTAATGAACGGGATCGCTTGTTCGAGGTGCGCTATTTCCGCTGGCGACATTTTTGGCAGGCCGAAATTTTTCTGTACGCCACCTGGGCCGAAATGTAACTTGCTGGTAAAAAATCGACAGCCTGGCATCACGTTTGATCGCACGTAAGCGTAGTTGACGACGTTTGCAAATCCGCCAAGTCCACCGGCAAGGGCGAGAATTAACTTAGCAGCGGCTGCTCCAGCTGACAATGTCGGTCCCCTGGATTCGATGTTCGCCATCTCTTTGTCCGAGTCGCGCAGGGTTCGCATCAGCATGTCGTGTTGCGTCTACGCATAATACTTCGTTACATCAGAAATTTGATCAACTTTGTGTAAAGATGAATCGAGGAAATATTGACATAATATCTGGGAAAATAACCGCTGACGGAATCAACTGCGTCAGTGGTTCTCAAACTGTGGTCCGCGAGGGTGCCCAGAAAATAAAAGCATGTAATACAAGGTAGACTGTATAAAAATTAGGTCCATGGAAAGGTGACGTTTGAGAAACACTGCTCTACATTAAAGAATCGTGTTCCGTACAGAAACAAAACCCGTCAAGTGATTAATAAGTACTCAAGAATGTACGTTCCAATCTTATCGCGTATTATATGATCAATATTATACAGTCAATATTTCTTGGAAAGCGGAAGTATAATCTAATCTGGATGACTGTATTTTCATACATTGGTGAATCGATTGATTGGACAAGCTTGCGATAAAAGCGGAACAATGGTATACGGATCTGCCCCACCGACCATGGGGATTGATAGGAATGCAGGATTCAGATTTAGGAGATTGGCAGTCGTTGCCTCCATTCGCATGCGTTCGTGAGAGGTGGAGCCGATGATCCTGTCTGGATCCCACCATCCGGCGAGTTTATAGATCTCGGAGACCATTGGAAGCGTTGTTGTGACTGGTCGAGCAAAAACGGCTACCAAAGCGTCCGAGCTGACTGTTACCATTTGCTCGGCCATTTCGCACGTGTACGCCGTCAGAGCCTCAAACTGAGCAGGAAAATTTGAATCCATCGTATTTGGATCCCTTTCATCCATCAGCGCGATAATATTCGTCTGTGGATGATATAAATGAATTTTTTAATTTCTTAATAATTTAGACTAGAAAGATGGAAACGTACTTCCTTGAGGGCATGTTTTATATTCTTCCTCTTAAAGTACTTTATACGGGTAGACGTGTCGATATGACTTGCATCCAAAACTGCACCAGCCATCGAGTTTTGTGCGTCCACCAGATGCACGTGTTTTATCATTCGAGATTGTTTTAAAAGAACAGCCGTGTAAATCGATGTCTCGCCTCCTCCGATTATACAAACTTGTACGTCACCTTTTCGATCTGGCAAAAAGCAATCGTACTCCTTGAATTTGGAATTCTTCGTGTCATTGGAGTCTGATGCTGATTCTGGATTTTGGTCATTTTCGCTGCACTCTTTGTTCTTGACTTTCCCATCGTCAGTCGGCATTTTCGAAATACTTCGACAGTGACGGCGTGATGTACATTTTCCAATGAACTTCAGAAAACAACGTTGTGTTTCGATCATGGTCGATCTTGCAGCAGAAATCATTGATGATAATTTTGTTTAGTACCGCCGGGACTCGTGAAATATATGGAAAATGTAATTTAGAGGAAACTTAGGTTATTGATTAAAAGCTAATAAAAATATCTAACGAACAATTGAACGATTTTGTACAAAATAAATAAATAACAAATTTATGTAAACGATTGAAGTAACACTTATTCGCAATTTTAGTTTTATTCCAATGTTAGTCTTTTGAACGAGGTTGTTGAAATTTTGCTGTTGCATGTTCGGGTTCAATAACTGCAAAAATAAATAATGATTATTTTTTACAACATTGCAAGTTTCTAAACAATGAAACAACATGTTTGCTTAGAAAGTTTTTCTTTACTATATAGTTTTCATATTTGTCTAAAAAAGTAACAAAAAAATTAATAGTTTATGAAACAAGGTACCTATTTAAATTTAATCAATAAAAGTATAATATTTAACGACTTCCTACATAAACTTTTATAATACTTGATAAATACGTAACTGGGATACATTTAATTTGGCAATATAGTAATGTCAGACAGGTCTGAAAAAGATTTTAATTCTAATTGTTTTTCATTTGCCAAATGTAACAGAGATACAAAAGGAATGGGAAAACTTAGTGCCTCTGCATTAGTTTCTGTTAACATGCCTGTCAACATTCCGTAAATTTCGCTAAAATTTTTACTATCTTTCATTTTATCCAAGGGTTCCTGCTGTACTTCTGTACTTTCTGTATTTATATGTGTGTTATTATTATTCGTAATCAGCGCTTTCCAAATACATTTCTTTAATTGTCGCATATCAATCCTTTTTTCACGAAGACTATACACGATGGTATTTTTATTTGTTAATTTTGGCATAGCAACTAGATTATCTCCAGTAAACATCATTTGAGTTTCTGGTTCGCCATTTTCTTCGTTTATTCTGTAATCTTCGTTAGGAATATTAGGACAATAATCTAACGTATCATTAGCATTACCATAGTTGTAATCCTCTATGTCAGATATATGAGTCACATCTAATGAATCCTTGTTTTTTGTACTTAAGTATATGTGTTTATGAAGATACAGTTTAAAAGCACTTGCAATATTGTAATGCATATCTCGCGGTAGCGTGAGAGTTTCTTCCTGCCATTCTATCATGGCGGATTTAACTTCCAATCTTGAAGCTAGACCTGGTGAAAACTTTCGTAGTACAGCTTTCTTTGTATTCTCATCATAATGTATCACGAATTCCTTCTTCTTTGTACCCTGTTCTTGGTGACATTTCTCTATGATTTTACTCTCTCCATAAAGTTTTTTAAAACTATTTATTTTCCAATGGGAAGGACCAGCCCAGTGAATATTCGAATTTTTCTGAAGAAAAGAATATTCAGATGTTTTTGTTAACCCAGTGTGAATCACAAGTTGACGGAGATCAACAACTTTCTCCACTGGTTTTTCTATTGCAACACACTTGTCTACCATATCTTCTTCGGTGTCGAGAACATCAAAGTAATGATCATCAACATGAGCCATTTCATCTCCTGATGGTAAACTGGCATCCAAGTTAAATTGAAATCTATTCTCTTTATTCTCCTCTGGTTGTGTATCTTTGATTTCTTTATCAGTTTTTTCTTCATTGGTCCAGCAATGAAAATCAAAACTAGTCAAAGGTGGACATATTTTCAACTCAAAAAATTCTTCTATATGCAGTATATCTATTTCTAAATTTTTCATATTTGTTTCTGATTCTACAGTATCAACAATGATATCATTGTATTCATGTAAATAAAACTTAGAGTTGGCATGATTTGGTAACATTGCTTGATATAATGTATTTGCAGTTTGTGAATTATCATTTTCCATCAACCACAGTGAAGGTTTCAATATTTCAGCATTTCCTTTCAAATTATCCACAAAACTAAAAATACTATGTTTAGTTTTTTTTCGTTTTGCTTTTTTTGTTTTACTTGAATCATTTACATTATTTATTTGAACATTGTTTGTGTCTTTGGACAAATCATCTGTTGTTGCTTCAACTTCTGTGTCTAATCCACCAACCATTTTCAATATTTCTGTGTGAACACTATCTACACGATATCCATAAATTTTAGTACTCACATCCAGTGATGTACTGGCTACTTGCAAATTAGACATGTTAACATCTTCTTTTTTAATCATGTAAGTCATGAAATCAATAATTTCAAGGCTGAATGCATTTTTCAAATTAATCTTGTTTTCACTGTTAAGTTTTATACATTCATATATACGATTCTTCATTTCAGGTGCCGATAGTTGTGCTAAAAAGCCAAGACCCAAAGATTGTCGTTTAATGTTCTTCGTTACATTTGTTATATTTGAAGTAGTCATTTCACGGTGCAGAGCCAAGCGTTCTTCTTCATCGTTATTTTCTAACAATGAATTTTGTACATTCATAGATTTCCTTCTTAAGGAAGACAAAGTGTTTGGAGGAATAACTGATGAACCCTCTAACAATGTATCCATTCCATCTTCTTGTGCTGCCATTTTGTAACTTTATTTAGACTTGTGGACAATATTTCAATTCATAGAAATTCTCGTACGCGTATATATTTAGTTTTCTAAAAGAAATATTTCTACTTATTTCCTTTGTTATGCTTTGTGTCTATGATTTAGTTTTCCATACAAGTTATTTAGTTAATTAAAAAACAAACGAATAGATAAAAATGTTTACCTTTTAAAGCGGTGAAGTTTTTAATAATCTTCTCTAAGTCCGCTCTTAGTAATCCTAATAAAGTATGATACTCTTCCAATTGCTGGTGAACTTGTTGCAGTAGGTTTAATTCCTTCTCAAGATTCTGAAAAGATCGTACACATAATCGTGTAAACTTTAAAACTGTAGCAAAAAAAAACAAATACATAGATTTTCTTTATTTCGTCGTACCTTATTATCCATTCGTTATTGCCAAAAAATTACATGCAACGACAGAAAATACTGGTAAAATTTACCAGGTAAATAGCGTAAATTCGAATAAGTTTGAATATACGAGTGTTCCTAAAGTCATTTTATTGAAACATACGAATCATATGAACTAAGGTTTATAGATAAACAAAACATGAATAGTCGTCGGTATATCTAGGGACTTTAGTATAAATAATGGAAGTACATAGAAATGGAAATTTCTATGAAGCTTCAAGCACTTGGAAGCTTCGCTAGAGTGAATAGAAAAATATAGCCGTTTTGATAAAACGATAACATGGTTTCTTACTGTTGGTGACTGTTGGCAGTGCCGTTAAATGTGACAGGTCAGTCCACAAGAATGGCGACCATAGTGGAAGAACAGAATTCGGTTGACATGAACGAGGATAAAGAATCACAGTGAGTTATGAGACATTAAATATAATAAAAGAGATCAACCTACACGTTACACGCATTTCCATATAATTGTGGCGAAAAGAATGCTGCAATCTTGATCGGGCTTTTGGAAAAATAACCTAACGTACACCTTCCGCGATTCTTGGCAATATTTTTTAATTTATACATACATTTACATTGCAGATTCGACCAAGTTACTTGCAATTGGGTGGATATTACCCAAGAATTTTTCGAAGCCATCACAGGTGCTTATTTTAAAAATTAGTTCTCTTTGTGAACGCTTCACGAATTTTTACCCCCTTTCTACTTCTTTCATTCATTTAGAAATAAGACAATAAAAGTCACTCTACACGCGACCACTTTCCGTTAAAATAATATTGCACCTTTTGTTAAATCAAACAGTGTTTTGTATTTGAGTATTACTTTTGATGAAGTATATTTATGAGGGTTAGTCCTTGAGATTTTAATGATAGAAAAACCATGAGGGGATCTTGTTGAGACCATCAGTGAAAGAATCTTAAAAATATCCTATTTCTCTTTTATACTTACAAAAAATGATTTATCATAGCTTATGTATGTAAGATTTATGTTTAAAATTTAGTTTTGATTTATCAAGAATACTTGTATGTAACAGAAAATAAAAAGCAAAAGGGTACAGAAACTCAGCTACACATATCTCGCTATAAGAAAGTAACAAGACAGAATTAATGTATATATTTAGTGGTTGATTTTTTGTTTGTAATGTGATGCTTGTTCTTTATAAGTAAATTTTGCATTGAATTGATCTTTTTTAAAAGGTTGAATGTGGTTTTAATTTATTTCCTATCATATGAAATTAACATTATGCTTAAGATACTAGTTTTTAAAGATCACTTTATTAATAAAAATATGTGAACTCTATAAGCCTCCCTCTTAGTTTTCAACATAACAGCTATGGCACAGTCTTTTTAGAGTTAATTTACACTGACTTGTGGTAAAAATTAATAGGGAAGATTGTACTATTGGTATAAAATATTTCATTGATGTGTTCATTTAGAGCTGGAACTGGGAGAACTTTTACACGATGATCTGTTCGGATTGTTTGAAGCAATGTCTGCAATTGAAATGATGGATCCAAAAATGGATGCTGGTATGCTATGTAATCGGGGCAACAACAAACCATGTACTTTCACACAAGCTGTCAATTCTGGTGCACTGAAATTGGACAATTTGACACCATCTGAAGTCATAGGAATAATTGATTCGACCTATGCGTGTATAGTATCTTGGTTAGAAGGTCACAGTTTGGCACAAACAGTTTTTACTAATTTGTACCTTCATCAACCCAGTCAAATAGTGGATAAACCTTTGAAGACTTTCTGTTATGCTGTGTACAAAATAATTGAGATAATTAAGGATTGTATCAATAAAGCATTAGTGTTTGAAGAAGAGGACTTTCAAAGTGTTACTTATGGCTATAGATTGCAACAAGATATTGCTGAACAAAAGACTATATCCATGTTGCGTGAGGTGGAAGAAGAATTACATAGAAAAAGTAGAATAAAACCAATTGACATAGAATCTGAGAAAGAAGTAGGTGTAATAAAATTAAAATAATTTCTTAATTAGTAAATTAACAATTACTGAAGTATTATTACTAATTTGTTTCAGTATAATGGTGGATTAGCACTGTATGCCAGAATTAGATTTACCAAATTCTTTTATCAAATATTATCGTTATTGGGGAAGAAAGAGCAACTGCAACAAAATTTAAGTGACTGTCATAGACTATTATCCACGTGTTCATATATGATCCAAGTTATGATTAAGACGGTAAATCGCGGAGAGAAGGCTGACGAGATATGTGAGTTTTTCAAAAATTACTTCTTGGATTGTTTATAGAAATATATCATATTGTTTGCTAATTTTAGCAAATTATCCAAATATTATGGGATTCGATCCCATGGTGAATCAAAGATTATTGCCACCAACATTCCCTAGATATACTAAAATAAAGCCAAGGACCGAAGCTCTGAAATATTTGGATGAATTATTGAATAGATTTCGAACGGTCACTATGATCACCAACCAGAACGGATTTCATGCAGCTTTGGTAAGAAACGACTTGCAAGCTAATAGCGACTTCCGACATAAATACCAAGTACACTGATTTCTTTTTAGGACTTTTTTCTAGAATTCTCACGACAAAGTCCGTGTATATTATCTAGATCAATGCTACAAATAGTTTATTTGCCAACAACAAACCGCGTGTTTGGTGTACAAAACTTTGCTGATGTTTTGAAAGACGCGGCGCGGAATTTCATCGCGCCGCCGGTTTTAATGCCAAAGAGCACGTTACTTCAAAATCACCAAGCCAAGGAATACGTTGATAGTTTCATGTCACACTGTGTAAGCCTTTTTAGTAGTTTATTACAGCTTACCGGTCACAATAGAGCAAGACAAAGAGACAAATTAGCACATTTATTGGAGGACTTTGCCGCGTTGCAAGATGAAGTGAGTTTGAAAATAATTAAAATCAGTTTATGCGATACTTAAAAGAGTTGAGTTGTTTCAAGTTTAAAATTTCGACAGGCTGAAAGAGTAGATGGGTTCTTACATACCTTGTCTTTAAAAAGTGTTACACCCAGGTCGCATCTAGCTTGTTTTGGAACATGGATTTTGTATCATACACTACGAGTTATGGTCATGTATTTGTTAAGCGGCTTCGAACTTGAATTGTATTCAGTACACGAATATCATTACATATTCTGGTACCTGTATGAGTTTCTTTATGGATGGCTTGTATCAGCTATTACGAGAGCCGATACATTTTTAATGGAACAGGATGTACATAATGATGCGCATAAAGGCAGAGGAGCCAGGAAGAGTGCTAAAAATAAAAAGAAAAAATCGACGCCAAGACCGTACGACTTAGAAATATTGATGTATCAGGCGATGCAAAATATATGTGGAGGATATTATAAAGTAAATTTTTCTTCAGCAGTTTCACAGCATGAAAATAACGCAACTTAATCGGCGATATGAAATTCGTGTGTTTATAGGCTTTAGTTGGTTTTCGTATGGATGGAAGAATACCACTTCCTGAGATACAATTTGATTCGGAACGAGTTCGATACGAGCATAGGTTATTACCGTTTTCTTCGTTACTGACTCCGCCACCGGTACATTATCAAGAATTCTTAGACATGACTAATGCTCAGATGCACAAAAGAAACGTGAGTGTAAGTTGTTTTTTGTTAGTGCAACACGGATCTCTATTTCCTAACTTCTATTTCTTTAGGAGAAGATTACTAGTGAAATGCAGTACTTAGCCGGTTGTCGACATTTTTATCAAGCTAGAAATATGTTGGATCGAGCGTTGTCTCTTTACCCACCAAATGCCAGCACTATAAACGAGGTAGAGTAATTCAAAATATTTTGTCATTTTGTATTTCTAACCCTTTTATTTATTGTACGATCCTTTGGTTTGCAGATTAATGACTTATTAAAAGTGGCAAAGACAAATTTCGTGGTTCTGAAATTACTCGCCGATGGACATCAAAAGGATTCCAAAGAACCGCCAGTATTCGACTTTTCATGTCATCAACATTTTCCACTGATAAAACTCACCAAAATGAAACCTTTGTAATAGTTCTCATTTCAAGTTGCAAATGACATTATTTATTTTAGCTTTAACCGTGCAAAAAATATTTTTGTGTTGTTAACTTTTGAGACGCCTTCTTTCCGTTTAACGCAACCTTTAAAACGCCCACTTCCTCCACTCTCCATTGTTTTTTTTTTTTTCTTTCATTAACGAGTCTCCCTTCATTGTACAGAAATGTATTATTTGCCGTACATATTTTGTGGATAAATTTCTATACTAAATGAAAATGATGTTTGTATATAGGTTATCACAAATTGTATATGTTTTAAATGAATTCATGTGGATATTAAGAATGAATGTGTCGATTGTTTGAGGATAAGGTTCGTGAAATTTACAGATCGTTGCGAAGTGTAAATACAAATGTAGAATATATAGCCTCGAAATGTTGTATAGTAATTACACCTCGTCAATGGAAACTGTTAACAGTTGTTGTTAGTGACATTGTGCAACATTTTGAATATATTGCAGGCTTCAGCTATGAAATAACCATTCATGATGATAGTCTTTTTTATAATAACGATCCCGTAATTTCATTGATCTCGCGACCTGACTTTGTTTGCGTGTAAAATCGCCACGGTTTATACATTGTTAAAAGTCTGTTAAATACAGAAATACAAAATTGTGCCCAATCGAAACAATGAATTTGAGTGTAAAATTAACGGTAAATACGATTGAAAGGTACGGTTTACCTGTAAATCACCAAATTCACGTGAGAAAGTGATGTATGTCTAATAAAAACAATAGTCCAAGAAGAGAATTATGTCTACATAGTGGTATTTATTATTTTGTACATTTGGATTACCTTGACTCGAATTAAATCTTACCAAAACGCTAACGATCTTTCAAGTGATCAGTGTGGATATGTGGTTTATTGTGTGTTCCCGAGAGGTTTACAAAAACCTCCGTTTCCATTTTCTTCACTATGTTTTCCTCCTCCTACTCCTCCCCGGTCACTTTCTTCAACCTGTCTTTTCCACCTCCGGAAACGGAAGTGCGTGAAGTGATCAGAGGATTTCGAAACGTAGAACGTGAAAATGTAAATTCACAAGAAAAATGAATAGCGGATTATTTTACATCTAAAACGGGGCTCTATCCGCAACCTATTACTTTCCAACATCGAATAAAATAATTTATCGTCGTTTCAGATAAATAAGTATTACCGATTTAGAGTTCAAATCCGTTTAGTCCGAAGTAAAGAATATTTCTCAAAATGGTTTGCTGTCGACTGATAGTGGAAGATCGAAGAATAAAGAAACCCTTTTTGGGCGGATGGCGACACAAACGCATCAATGTAAAATATTTAAACGCCGAGTCGCAGACAGGACCACGGAAAATGCCACCGAAGGACACGTGCAGTAGAATGGTGCAATACATTTGGATGACCGACGCAGTTACTCAAACACCGTGCGATCATCCCACGCAGATGTGGCGGTACGATGGTCTTTGTCGAAATTGAAAAATTAGTTTAATGTCTTTAGCATTGAAGATGTCTGTTTAATTTGTTTGCAGGCCAGATTGTTTCATATCAAGCGAATCGGACAAGTACTTGACGTCAAAGCCCTATGAAACGTATGAAGAGATGATGCAACGGTTGGACCACGACGGGAAAGCTAGAATTATTCAAAGGAACTACAGAATATACAAATTGCTAAAGCACGTAAAAGAGTACGCAAGACAGTATCGAGAACTGGTTGACAATTGCAGAAAGTATGAGGAAGAAACAGAGATGATGTACAAGTGCGTATGCAGGCAAATGTATTTAACTTGAAAAGTTATTCTATTAATAAAGAAGAATACTCTTGACATAATGATAAATCATTTAGGAGGCGACATCAATTAGAGATTCTTAGGCGTACCAATCCGAAATCACGGCTAGATTTTGACATGCTGTACGACCTGGTGGAACAATGGCGACGCGATCGCCTCAGCTGCACTAAACAACGTTTCTTCAGGGCAGCTGTATGCGCAGAGAATTATATGATTCTGGACAAAACCGTGGAGATGTTGAATGTAATAGATCAGAAGAGACGAGCTGTGATGACACGTTACAGAAACCGAAAGCGCGCCAAGTTCCTGACGGTTAACTGCAAGTCGGTGACGTGGCACGGTTATAAGGGTAAACTGGTGGAGATGGTCACCACTAGGAACCAAAAGGCGCGGGAGTTGAAGATGATGTACGATTCCTTGACGAATTATAGCGTCACGCAAGGGGAACGTATGGAGGTATTGACGATGCTGAAGAAATCGTTGGAGGTGCACAACTGCGTCGCCGCGTTTCACTTGATTCGTCTTCTGGACGAAGAACTAGACTACTTGGCGAGAGGAATTGCGAAGGATATGTCGCTGCACTTCTTCAGGGAAAGAATAGCTTGTAAGAAGAAAGTTCTGGCTTTTTTTAGTTAATGAAAGGTTGTAAATATTCTTTTGTTCGCCGACATAGATAGTTATTTGTACTTCATACGGTCGTCGCATTCGTGCTGTTGTCAGAACGACGATGAAAATTTCTGTAAAAACGTGGACGACGAAAAGCTGCGGGAACCCATCGCGGCTAAGACGAGAATGTGCAACAGTTGTCGTAAGCTGCTTCCATACAGCAAGTTCACGGTCCATGGAAGAATGACAAGACTGCATACTTGCATTGGTATTGCTTTTCGATAGTTCTATCCATTTGTCAAAACATTCTTTACGTGGGTATTATCGTCTAGAAGTTTGTTTTTTCAGCAAGTTTTAGGAATTAATTTTGCGAAAACTATCAAACCTACAGTACCAGGGTTTTTTTATGCATAATAAAACACGTTTCAACTAATAACACAAATTTTTATGAAATACCTTATTGAAATCTATACAAGTTGTGCGCTGTTATGCAGGTTGTGCCGTGAGACGCTCGTTCAATCGTCCGAGATAGAAAAACAAATATTTTTTTCAATCAATATGAGCGTAGTTATCGTCTGAATTAGAATTAAGTAAGTACTAAATTTTTTATCGGAATCGCAGCTGTTTGAAAATTAAGGTTTAATTTTTCCGTAAAATTGTCAAGTAAAATATGAGAGCAGGGCTAAAATATTCAAGCTATCGGTATAATTCTAGTTCAGACCATAGGTGATGGTTCCCTCGAAATGTGTGTAAAACCAGAAGTCAGTCGGTCTAATGGTTTTTGAGAAAAACGTGCGCCCGACTTGAAAAATGTCGTTTTGAGAAAAACACGTTTAAAGTTTGCTATACATTTAGCACTAATACTGGTGAACAGCCTTTAAGCCTCTGTAACTATGAGAGCTCTATGAATTTCAAATTAATATTTTAGAAGCACTTTCTCAAAACCCCAAATGATAAGAAAATGCAACAAAAAATCGAATTTTTGAAGTTTCTGGACGATAATACCCCCTTAATGGATTTTGTATAGAGTAACAAATAAATTCGTTTATTTAAAGCCTGCACCTGGTTGCGCGAGCGAAACACCAGGCACGTGAACTACGACCCTTATGTTCATCTTTTGAACTGCGTTCGCTCTGACGAGAAAGCGAAAGATTCTCTGTCAACGGTCGCATTCGTGATGCAAAAGTATGATATGTACCATCTGGTGAACAACATTTGGCACGGTCACTCGGTTGTCAGCGAGAACAGGGATCTGTTTCTTTTAAAAATGATTCGTTACAATGTAAACAAGGAATGGTCACCGTGGAATTGCATCCTTCTGACTGCAGAAGAAGCTGAGATCCATTGCAGGATCGAAGATCTCGCGACTGTGTACTCGAAAACCCTGATAGAGCAAATTCTATTGTCTCACCAGTTAGCGAAAAATCATTTCAAGTACGTGTATGCCTTTAGCATTATTTTCGGTGGGTCGTTCGGTTGGATTGATGCCTTTGACATTGAGAGAAAAAAATTGAAGGGCGAACAATGTCGTTTATATAACGACTTTCGAGATGATTGATAAGTAGATGTAACGTATCTATTCAATTCGTTGCAGGCACTTGAGAAAGTTCGAGAACAAGTTCCGAGAAACGTTTCAGAATATTGAAGACAAATTGGTGTACGAGCCGGCAATTAAAGTGGCCGATTATAATTTCACGTAACGCGATGCGTGCCTCGCAAACCACACGTGTTCTAAATAGTTGAATACGACATCTAAAATCTTTAAAAATTGTCTTTCGTTCATGTGCAGATATTAAATGTGAACAATACATGAAATGACCATCATTTACCTCTTATTTTCCTTTCAATTTTTATTATTCAGTGGCACTGAACAAGTTTAGAGGTTTAGTATGGGTGTGTAGTTTAATATTAGTGGCGCCATCGGTGGGAAAACACCCAAGTGTGTAGTGAAAATAGGTCACACTGTTGCTAGTAGATGGCGTCACTAACTAAAATGTCGGTAATTAATACTGAATTTAATAACTATTCATAAAAATGATTATTGAAATAATAGATTGTAGTGTTATAAAGCAAAGAATCTTATTAATTATTAATTGTATGAGAAATAAAGAATAATTTATTAAAATGTATCGGTGGTGCCATCTATGATTAACTGTGGAAACTATTTTTACTACAAACCTAGGCATTTTCCCACCGATGGCGCTATTGATACTTAACGCCATTCGCCATCTGGCGATAACAATAGGAACTATTTTCAACAAACTTGAGCTGAAGGTTCCAAAATTAGTGCGTTCTTTTGCTCACCCGTTTGTTCCCTCTTTTTTTATTACAGCGAGATACTTTTCCTTGGTTCATGCAACACACTTACCGAAGCAAAAAGATTAGAATGTAAAAATACAAACTTAGAATTCTTGACGTTTTCACTAAAAACTTGGGAGTTCGGCGCTATCACTGATAGTAGAAATCCGCTAAATTTTGAAAGGTCATCATTTACAATGAAGTATCAATGATTTATTAAAAATATTCTACATCTCTAATCTAGATATATATTTATGTACATATATACCTGTTTACACACATACGACTATACACGCATCCATATATACATGCATCATGCATACATTCCCATGCACACACAAAAAAAGGAAATACGAAGAAGCGCGACCGCACGCGCTTATGTTCAAGATAATCAATTCAGAGCCTAAATAACAGTAGCGAGCACAAAGCGGTCGTCATTTAGCCGGATATGCAGTGGCACGTCAACGATTCGGTGCAACGTGTTCTGCAGAAAAAAAAAAAAAGAAAATACTATAACTACTCGACGTCGATAGTACGTTCAGTCCGAAATTTATGGTTAAATGATTAATCGATTTGTGGACGCCTGGATCTGCGAATGTCAGTCAACGCATGCTGGCAGGTTCACCACGAAGAACGTATTAAGTTCAAGGACAGAGGCGAACACCAGGAAAATGGCGTACATGATGAGACAAGCGATTCCGACGGTTTTCGTCAATTTAAATTTGCTGATCACGAGGGAAACGTAGAGAACGGCCAGAGTGGAGAACAATGAGATCGAACTGTAAACGAGACCCTGCGAATTGATCTGCACGTGATGCTGGCCAGGGACCGTGGGGAACAGGCCTGCTTTCAACAACCAAGGCAATCCAAGACAGAGCAATACGTCGAACACGTTCGAGCCTATCGAGTTGCTTATACCCATGGCTCCGAAACCTGAAAAAATATCAAAAATTGTCAACGACATCGGCAGATAGTAGACGTTACTGTTTTGCGTCTATCATCTCTTTACATTAGAAATTAGAATTTATTGTTGGGGTTGCTAACAGCCAGGAATGTAATTTATACACTTATAAATATTGATATTTATAACATGTACTTTATCTATTTTTAGCTTTACTATATTGAGT